CATCTCCCATGGTGGTGGCATCTCCCACGACAGCATCTGCCACAGTGGTGGCATCTCTTATGGTGGTGACATCTCCCATGGTGGTTGCATCTCCCATGACAGCATCTCCCACGGTGGTGGCATCTCCCATGGCGGTGGCATCTCCCATGACAGCTTCTCCCACGGTGGTGGCAACTCCCACGGTGGTGGCATCTCCCATGATAGCGTCTTCTGTCACTGTGGCATCTTCCACAATCACGGCATCTCCTGTGACAACATCTTCCCTGATGGTGGCACCTCCCTCAATGCCGTCTCCCAGGCTGGTGGCATCTCCCACACCGGCAGCACATCCCATGGTGGTGGCATCTCCCAGAATAGTGACATCTTCCACAGTGGTGACATTTCCCACGGTTGTGGCATCTCCCACGCCTGTGGTGTCACCCAAACCAGTGGCGTCTCCCATGATGGCAACTCTCACAGTGGCGTCTTTGGTGGTGGCACCTCCCACGATGGCATCTCCCATGATGACAACTGCCACGGTGGTGGCAACTCCCATGGTGACGTCTCCCATGGTGGTAGCACCTCCCATGGTGGTGGCAAGTCCCACAGCTGTGGTGTCACCCAAAGCAGTGGCACCTTCCGCGATGGCATCTCCCACGATGGCAACTCTTACAGTGGCGTCTTTGGTGGTGGCACCTCCCACGATGGCATCTCCCATGATGACAACTCCCACGGTGACAGCGTCTCCCGCGGTGGCAACTCCCACGGTGGTGGCACCTCCCAAACCGTCCCCTCCCGCCACGGTGCCATCTCCACCAGCTTCCTCCTCCGCCTCTCCCACCACCCCCGGTGGCCTCCCCACCTCCTCCTTCTTCTCCTCCTCCTCCTCCTCCACCCACCCCCGACCTGGGGGGCCACCTTCAAGGTGGGGGTGATGGGTCCTTGGACCTGTGACCCCCTCCTGGCCCGGGCTTTGCCCGAGGTGGCCTCTCGTTTGGCCGTGGCCCGTCTCAACCGCGACCCAACCCTCAACGAAGGCTACTGGTGGGACGCGGTGGTGTTGGCCGAAGCGTGTCGAACCCCCCAGGCCGTGACGGGGCTACTCAACGTCGAACGTTACGCCACCGGGCTGGTGGGACCCCTCAACCCGGCCACTTGTGGAGCCGCCGGGCTCTTGGCCACCGCCTGGAACAAGCCCTTGGTCTCCTGGGCTTGTTTGGGTGACGTGGAGGGGTTGGACACTTTGGTCACCCCTATGCCGGAGCCCGCCGGGGTGCTCCACGCCGTCCTCCGTTTCTTCCGTTGGGCCCACGTGGCCGTACTCTCCGCCCCACAGGACCTGTGGCGCGAGGTGGGGCAGGGCTTGGCCCAGGACCTCCGGGCTCGGGGGCTGCCCGTC